TATCAGCATCAGCATCAGCATCAGCATCAGCATCATCATCATCATCATCATCATCACCATCAGCATGACCATACTCATCAGCATCATCAACAGCATCATCATCATGATGATCATCATCATCATCGTCGTCATCATCATCAGCATCGTCGTCCGAATCATCACCGTCAGCATCACCATCATGAACACAATCGCAACAGTCATCATCATCATCATCAACAGCATTAACCTTAGCATCAACAATTTACCAGCATCATCAGCTCCATAATCATCACCAGCGCCATCAGCATCATCAACATCATCATCATTATTGTCAGTATCATCAACAGCATCATGACCATCAGCATCATCATCAGCACCATCATCAGCATCACAATAACAAGAATCGGCACTATCAGCATCACCATCATCGTCATCAGCATTATCCTCCTCATCATCATCGTCATTGGCATCATCGTCATCATCATCGTAATCAGCATCGTCGGCATCATCATTCCCATCACCTTCATCACCATCATTGTCATCATCAGCACAATCAGCATACTCATCATCAGCAGCATCAGCAGCATCGCCATCACCATCACCATCCACATCATCAGCAGCATCACTATAAGCATCATCCGTCCATCCATTCATCCATCCATCCAACCCTCCTTTCCCCCGCTGCCCCCTTTCTTGGCGCGTGTGGGCAGTAGACGGGGGAGGACGACAACCTAGGCACGCTCGCGCTAATGCCTGACGTCCTGCCCGTCCCACTTATCCCTTCCCAGTGCACTGAATCCGACGCAGGTCACACGCAAAGCACAAACACACACACACACGGACATAGACACAGACACAGACACAGACACACACACACACACACCGACACCCACACCCACATCCACACCCACACCCACACACACCCATACCCCTCCCCACCACCCCCCACCACACACACACACACACACGCACACACACACACACACACACGCACACACATACTCACACACACACTCACACTCACACTCACACACACAACAACAACAACAACAACAACAACCACAACAACAACAACAACGACAACAACAACAACAACACCACCAACAACAACAACAACACCACCAACAACAACAATAACAACAATAACAACAACAATAATAACAATAATAATAAAAATAATAATACTAGTAATAATGATGATAATAATAATAATACTAATACTACTCAGGACAACAACACCTGCAACAACAGCAGCAACAACAACAACAACCTCAACAACAGCAATAATAACACCAATAACAGCAGCAGCAACAGCAAAAAAAGAACAGCACCCACCTCAGCAACAGCAACCATAACAACAGCAGCAACAGCAGCAGCAACAACCGCAACATCGGCAGCACCCCAAAAAAACGCCGCAAGCGCCGATGTCCTCGAACTGCGGCCTCCCCGAGCGGCCCCACCCGTCGGCCCCGCGGCGACGGGCCCCGTGGCCCCCCTGCACGCGCGGGGAGCGGCCACGGACACGCCGTGACCCCCATTTGAAGGGGCCCCAGGACACACAAATAAATACACACAAATAAAAAGATTCCCCATATTTTCCCATATTTTCTGGGTTTCTGTCTTCCCCCCCACTTCCCATATTTTCCCATATTTTCTGGGAATCGCCGATTAATTGTGTCTGTGTGTTTCTTTCCCTCCTGAGCCCCTCTTGGTGCGCGCCTCGCCGACCGCCGCACGCGCCGCGGCAGCTCGGAGGAGAAGCGGGGACCACCGTGCGACGCGGGGACTCGAAGCTCAAAGGAGGAAAGCGACGACGACGCCGCCGCCGACGACGACGACGACGGCGACGGCGGCAACGGCATCCAGAACCACCGCCTGGGGATGGAAATTCGGGGACGTCAGCAGGCGGTGGATACGGTACGGGTATGGCCGGCTCCTCCAGGGCCCGAGCAGATCCAGGATCCCCCGGGCGGCGGTCATGGATCACCCCTCGCCTCGGACACCGACGACCCGTGAGGGAGAGCCCGACACCTGGCACGCGTGGGCGTCGTCGTGCACTGGGCGGCGCCCCTCGGCGTGCTCCGCCCAGGGGGCCGCCTCCCACCGACTAGGGCCCGTCTGCCTCAGGACCCCCTCTCCCTCGCGGGGGGAGGGGGGGGGGGCAGAGTCATCGCCATCGCTTGGACGTCGGTTCCCCGTGCATGCTTCGGCGTCGCGCGCTATAGTTCTTCGCAGAGAGGATCCAGGATGCTCCTCGACCAGTCCTCGCCGAGGAGAAGCGCACACGCCCGAGCGATACCAAGAGTTGCTCGTTTGCTCGCTCTTGCCAAGCGGATCCAAGGTGCTCCTCGACAGTCCTCGCCGAGAAGAAACGCACACGCCCGAGCGATGCCAAGAGTTGCTCGCTTGCTCGATCTTGCCAAGCGGATCCAAGGTGCTCCTCGACAGTCCTCGCCGAGAAGAAACGCAGACGCCCGAGCGATGCCAAGAGTTGCTCGCTTGCTCGCTCTGGCCAGGCGGGGGACTCCACCCCCAACAAAAATGGGGCAGTGGGTCCAGCCGCCTCGTCTCCAGCCAGCTTTTGTCGAGCCACCCTCTCGGAAGGCCGCTGCCTCCTTCGCGCAGGTCTGCTCTGCGCGCAGCACGCGCGCTGCCGTGTGTTTCCTCTTCTTCCATTATCGGGGGGAACGAAAGGGGGGGATAGCAAAGGGTACGGTAGAGAATCAGCTCACGTAGCTGATTTTCCCAGCGCCTCCCGGCGCCGGGAGGCGCCCATGTATCGAGTAATGGGCCCGGCGGCGGGGCCGAAACCGGCTGCATGCAGCAGATTGTGTAACCCCCCCTTTCCCTATCCCCCCCTTTCGTTCGGCCCGTCATCATGATCGAGGGCTGCTCGTGGATCGCTTACCGCCTCTCTGCACGGTCTTCGTTGACTCCCCCACGGCGACGGGAGCGGGACAAGGGGCGGCGGAGCACGCAGGCCTCGGCGGGGGCCCCTGTCAGTCCCAGGAGGCGGCCATCGACGGGCGCCCCGGCTCCTCCGGCTCCGCAGCGACCCGGCGCGACAGCCTCGAGGGCCTCGCGCGGAACGCCCTGCACAGGTCCGAGACCTGCTCCACCCACTTGCCGTGCTCGTCCGTGCCGATCAGCCCGCCGAGCTGCTCGAAGCCGAGGCTCCTGCTGGAGGCTCGGAGCTGGGCACCAACACCATCCACAGGGGGTTACCTCCACCGGGGGAGGATGATCCTAGATCTCGGTGATGAATGCAATCTTCCGGCCGCCTGGGTTGCCAGAACATTACTACTATCACCGAGATCGGGACACTCTTCCCTCGGTGGAGGCCCGCCGCCGATGTTGGTTTTGGTGTCAGCTTCTGGGCCTCCGATCCTGAGGTTGGTCGCCCGGAAGTTCAGCGCCTGGTGGGCCGCCTGGGCCACCTCAAGCGTGGCGTCGTAGCCTGCGCCCGCGCCCCGGATCAGGAACTGGAAGGCCTGGGCCTCCTGCGCGAAACAGAAAGGGGGCTCGAGCAGGAAAAGGAAGAGGAGGACTACGACCAAGACATCTCGGCTCATGGAAGGAGCGATGACGACGGCGCCGACGACGGCGGCGACGGCGAAGACAGCGTCGTCGTAGAGTTCGAGGTCGGCGGCTCGACGTTTCGATGCTCGCGGGGCTCGAAGCGGGAGTTCTCGTCGGTCGTCGGCGGTTTTCCAGCCTCACGGTGCGTTCCGGCGGATCTCCTGAAGCGGCGCTGGACCCACCTCCCTGGCACGCGGAGCACGCCGCCAGGGAGCAGACCAAAGACATCCGCGCGGAGCTCCGAAGTTTACAATCATCGTGCTACCACAAGGGGCGCAACGTAAGGAACGATGGTGGTGTTCTGGCCTCGCCCCGAATAGTTCTCCGACCTAGATCTCAGGAACGGCCCGAACATCAGAGCCTCGCCCGGCCTCGAAGTGGTCCTTATGTCAGCGTATTGACTGTGCACGTCGGTCGGAAGAAGCAGGTAGGAAGGCAGATAAAGTAGGGCTGGGTCCAGGCCCTCCCAGAGAATAACAAAGCACAGCAAAAACGCACCGGCTCTTGAAATAGCAAGGCGCTTGAAGTGGCACCTGGGAACCCACACATCTCTACTTTCAACGACCGTCGTGTATGCTTAGAACATTACTTGAAAAGGAAACAACCAGATACACATAAGCTTTTGGCGCTCCGCGCGGAGCGCCAAAAGTTTATGGTTATGTGTGTGGGCGCTTTCTTGTTCGGATTATTTTCTCCAGTCCTGTGCCCTGCCGGCGTCGGCGTATACCTGCCTCCACACGGGCACGAGGCGGACCCGCCCAGAGAGGCTGCGGCTCTTGGAGCGTGTTTTCTTTATGTTCGGCGATAATGGGCATTCTAAAAGGGGGGAGGGGAGGGGGGGGGCCGGGGGGGGGAGGGCATACTGTAACGCCTCCCCCCCGCTGTGTGGCACGGCGGCAGTGCCCCGAGCGCACTGTGCGGGGGAGGGGCGTCACGTTCTAGAGCGGGGGGGGGCGGGGGCTATCATGCCCATCATGCCCCAGGCAATCAAGAAACACGCTCTTGTTGCGGAGGCCCCCCCATGGCTCGTACTCGCCGGCGGCCGCGGCCGCGGCACCCCGCTGCGTCGAGGCACCCCACTGCACCCGCAGGGAGAAGGGGCGGAGGGTGGCACTGCCTGCGCCGTTCGGGCCCTCCGCGTTGCGCTGGGCGGCGGCGAGCGAAGGGGGGAAGATGTAAGTCGGGCCTGTCCCTCTGCAGAAGGAATAGCACTCAAAACAAAGTCAACAAATAATATGGGGACGATGCTTTCACTGTTTTTTGCTATTTTGGTGTATTTTGGGGCTCTGTCTTGTTTTTCGCCCAAAATCCACCTGCAGCACATCGAAGACTCGAACCTGTAGGGAGGAGGAGTGGGGAAGGGCAGGGCGAGGAATGCGCTGTAGGTGTGGGCGCGAGATGTCGGACCCCGAGGGCGGTTCCCGCTCGAGCGGTGGCCCACCTCCGACAGCACGCACCCATAGTGCCCCCCAGAATTCCACCCCAGGAGTTCTGAGGGACGTATAAGTATGGGTGTTAGCTGTCAACTCGTGACTTCTGAAACATTTTCCACGCCTTCCCCGAAGACACGGAAAACTATTCAGAATGCCGTAGGCCTTCTGAGAAGCCCCGCCGCCTTCTGAGAAGGCCTTCTCCTTCTCACTTCCCCCCCTCGCTCGCCACCGAGCTGGAGCGGCACGACGCGCACCACCTAGAGGCCTCCCAGAATGGGGTCCGAGCAGATGGGGTCGAAGAGATAGCGCCACAGCGTCGATTCATCGGCGATGCACCGGCGACGTCGGTAAGACATCATCGACGTCGGCGTGGAGAAGATCGGGCTCCACATCGAGCCGCATCTCGCCGATGCATCGGTGATGCGGCGCGATCCTCCGACCACGTCTACTCGGATCCCATCTGGGAGGGCTCGGCTACACCCGTGCTTAGAGTTCCCAAAAAGTATCCTGGCGAAGGGCCCAACCATATGCAGTTGTGGGTATCACCGTTGTGGGCATCGCAGTCGGTGGATCTCTTCATGGGGCACCGAAGCGTGTGAAAGGTGTGCCGAAATGGGGCAGGGACGCATGCGGGCGCAGCCGTTGGGGCCTTCGATGGCGCTCCATATGGGGCCACGAAGAGTGAGAGGGGTGTGCCGAAATGGGGCGGGGACGCATGCGGGCGCGGCCATTGGGGCCTTCGGTGGCGCTCCATAGGGGGCCACGAAACGTGAACCTGAGTGGGGGAGACGCATGCGAACAACGCCCCTGAGGCCTTCGGTGGACCTCCCTGTGGAGCCACGAAGCGCTGGGTGGGGGGAACGCTTGCGGACACCGCAACTGAGGCCTTCGGTGGAGCTCCCTATGCGGCCGCGAAACGTTGTACGGTGTGGGCGAAACGCACGCGAACACCGCCAGATGGAGCTCCCCCCCCATGGGGCCACGAGGCGCTGTACTAGGTGAGGGAAACGTATGCGAACACAGCAACTGGGGCCTTCGGTGGACCTCCCAATGGGGCCACGAATCGCTGTGCTGGGTGGGGGGAACGTATGCGGACACTGTCACTGGGGTTTTCGGTGGGGCCCCCTATGGGGCCACGAACGCTATACTGGTTGGGGGAAACGCTTGCGGACACCGCCACTGGGGCATTCGGTGGACCTCCCCATGGGGCCAGGAAGCGTTGTACTGGGCGGGGAAAACGCTTGCGGATACCGCCAAAGGAGCTTGGGTGGAACCCCAAACGTGTGAGGGGTGTGCCAAAGTGGAGGGGGGCGGCATGCCACTGGGGCCTTCGGATGAGCTCCTCATGGGGCCACGCAACGTGTGATGGTGTGCCACAGTGGATGGGGGCGGCATGCGAAGCACGCCACTGGGGCCTTCGGTGGAGCTCCCTATGGGGCCACGAAACGTGTGAGAGGTGTGCATAAGTGAGGGGGGTGACGGGAAGAGGGAGGAGGGGGAGGAGGAGGAGAGGAGTGGAGGAGACGTGGGGACCGTCTCTTCAAAACGAGGACCAAACTCAACACAGGATGGTTAGGAATAGAAAACATGACTTCACTCGAAGCGTTTTGTCAACCAGTAGTCCAGGTCCACACAAACGATTACGAGGAACAGGCGCTCCAAGAAAACGCCCAGGGGTTCAGTCCAGATCCTCGGTTTTCTCGTGCGACACCTGGAGTCCACGAAAATTGTTGCTTTGCATCTCCGAGGGGCGTACCTGACCGCCCAGCCACTCGCCGCTCAGCTCCACGCTCTGGATGTAGTTGCCGCACGGGTGGCCCGCAAAGGGCTGGACTGAGGCGTTCAGCTCGAGCTTGGCGGGCAGCCGCGGGTCCCGGGGGGCCCTGACCAGCACGTAGCTGCCGGGCATGTTGACATCGAACTTCTCGCCGCCGAGGTTCACAACGTGAGGGTCGTCCGTCGCTCCCCCCGCGTCGGTGGGGGCGGGCGTCGGGACCACCTGAACCGAAGGCCCGTCGATGGTGTCACAGATCTCCTCGATCAGCATGGAGCTGAAGTTATGGGCGCTGACGCCCATGAACTGGACCTCCTTCAGCTGGTGCGGGTCGGAGGGGTCCGCGTAGCATCCGCGCCAGGGGTCCGTGGGCTTGTGCGTCGAGTCGTACAGCATCGAGGTGAGCACGCCGTTGTCCAGGTGCCCCAGAATCAGGCTGATGTTCGCAGCCCTGATATCCTGCATGAGCTGGCACTGGCTGGCGTCGGTGTCGTAAGGCGTCCTCATGGAGTCCCTGTCCTTTGAGATCACCATGAGGATCTTCACTGCGCTCGGATCCCAAGGATTGTTGTGCAGCATTTGCCCCATCGCGCCGGCGTTGTCCTCGGGAGAGTCGCCGCCGCCCATGGAGTAGAATGGGGCGATCTCGTTCTGCAGCTGGACGGGGTCCTCAAACCAGTGCGAGAGCGGATCGGGATGCACTGCCCACTCGTAGCGGGGCGGGGTCACATCACCTTCTGGAGAAAAAAACATACGCATAAACTGTCTTAGCTCCACGCGGAGTCCTTGGATCGGCACTGGGCACCCCCAGAGCTTGTGTTTCTGCAGCTTTCTCTTCTGCGACCTTCGTCGCGGTAGCATAGGAACGCCATCTGCAACAGACTGACAGAGGCGTTGAACTCGACCGCCAGGTCGTACACGGTCGTCTTCAGGGCGTCGAGGTACGGTTGGGTGCTGCCGGTGCAGTCCATGGCGAAGCCGATCTGGAGCCAGGGGATCGTCTCGTTCAGGCAGGTCTCGTTCGAGGTGTCGTTCGAGGAGTTCAGGCTGGTCTCGAATATCTTCGTTCTGCTCAACTAGAGGACGAACAAAAACTGCATAATCAGAAATGTTCGGAGCTCCGCGAGGGTTTCTGGGATCCGCGCTGAACCCCCTCCTGGGCGCGCGGAGCGAGCCAGGGGCGGCGCCAGAGGCGCCGCCAGAGGGGCCCAGCGCTGACCAAAGAAATCCGCACTGAGCTCCGAACGTTTGCATTTACGCCGCGTTTTCTTCGATTAGCTGTGCCACCGGCTGCCGCTTGCTCATCGCGGACATCATCTCAGACCTCAGCGCGGCCTCCTCGCGGCCTGCCGCCACAGCGCGGCCGCTGGCGCCTGCCCCCTGCAGTGCCAGGGCGGACACCTGCGTGTGGAATGCGCAGAACGCCAGGAACGAAGTAATTGACTGCATGTCAGAGAATCAAGATGTACTAATAAGGTGGTGTATGAGTGTTTAGGTTAAGGTCTTTGACCAAATTGGATGGCTACGGAGGGGGAAGAAAAGGAGGAGGAGGAGGCGGACTGGACTGGACTACGACTGGGGCTCCAATGTCTCATGTGAGGGGAAAACTGCACGCGTGACGCCGTATCTACACCCTGTAGCTGTGTCGGGGCCTGTCAGGCGCGCTAAAATCGCCTCGCATGGGAATGGGAAAGGAAACTGAGCAACGTAAGCAACGCGTGGCGGGAGACGGGGAGGGGGCTAGCGAGTGGCGAGGGCCCAAAGGATGGAGGGACAAACGGAGGGAGCGAGAAATATTGGCAAGGGAGTTGAAGAGAAGTGGGCGCCGAGCAGAGGGTGCCGAAGAAAGAGCGGGGGTGGAGGTGGGGGGGGGGGGACCCAGGTAAAACTGCAGCTGGAAAGGAAGGAGGGAAAGGGGGGTCGAGGGGCAGTGGCCTCAGAACCCCGACGTCGGGAATTCTCCATGACGCAGTCCCCCGGAGGTGTCGACCCGCTGCCCAGAGGCCGACCTGCCACCCCGAATCGTCCACCGAGGCAGGAGAGACACGTTCAAGAATCAAGTCGGGCCTGTCCCTCTACAGGAGGAAAACTCCGAAATAGTTTAATAAAAAATAGTCAGGGGACGATTTCTTCCAGTATTATTTCTGACAATTTGGGGATATTTCTGAATCTGTTGAATGTTTCGACCAAGATCCGCATGCCTGGGGGCATGCCCGACCTGATTCAAGAGCCGCCCGTCGTGATTCTTGCTCGCAGCGCGATGGGGGGTTCTGGGGCAGGAAGGCGGCGCGGGCGGGAGAAGGAGGGGAGGCCCCCAAAACTGGAGGAGGAGGAGGAGCTGCCTAAGAAATGCCATGCGCTGGGCCCTGGAGGATCGACCCGCCGGCAGCCGCAGGGCATCAACGCAGGGCTGAACTCCACAAGAGGGCGCCGGTGCAGCCCCCGACCGCCGGGCAGGGCAGGGGCGCGGCGGGAGGGCGCCGCAGGTCGGTGTCCCTGCGCGTCGGGCGCCTCTTTGCCCCCGAGAGATCTTGCGCTCATCGACGCCGGTTGCTTCCACAGGCTGGCGGCCGCGGTGAAGCCCGATGGGGCAGCTGCACTTCGCGCGGGCCGGGACTCGCGTGCACGCCATTTCCATCCAGCGCTGTTTGGCAAGGCGGCGGAGGGGGTCACCTCCCGGCCTTTCCAGCCCTCTGCCTCCCCCCATTCCCCCCCGACTCACCTACCTCTCTTTTCATCCGCTCCAGTCTCGGCGCGAGAGCTTTGCCAAGAGCGAGCCCAGACGCCGAGCGCCCCGCATCCTCTCCCGCCTTGTGACACCAGACGCGACCCAGGTCGTGACATATTGGCAACACATCCCATTTCATGCCCCCGCGCGCGCCGCAATGTTTCCAGGAGGCCCTCGCCGTGCGCTTCATGTGCAGCTGCAGCCCAACAGGCAACCGCGCCAACCTTGACAGAAAGGAGATTTGCGTGGCCGCACTCCAGAGCAGTGGTGGCGTCGACCGAGCAGTCACTGCTTACAGCGAAACTGATCACAGACATCAAAACGATCTCGACACCATTTACCGGCAACACCGCTCCGACCAGAGAAGGCTCCACGGCGAGCTGACGATACTGCCCAGGAACAAAGTCAACGACATCACGCAATACCACCCTCAATACCACAAGACGGGCAACAGCCGTGACTCAGCAGGACCCGCGGTCCCCGCCGACGCCCACCAGGGCAACGGCACTGCCGTTCTCATCAGCAGTGATGCACCAACATTTTGACGTCCGATCGCGCTTCCGCTTCACGCGGCCGACCACGGGACCTTACGTGCCAGTGCCACCCCACAACCGAGCGTCAAAAACCATCAGACTACGACGACATACCGAAAGAAGACTTGAACCAAGAGTGGAAAGACTGGGGTGAAGCCTTGTTAGCATGGCTCTCCCAATCGAGAGGCCACGAGATCGCCGAGCTAACCGACGCCTGCTTCCGCGGTCTCGAAGCGGAGCACAAGAGGATTGCGGAAATTGCGACGGGCCTTGAAATCACGGTGACCAGGGAGGCCACCAGCCAGGCGGCGCTGGCCCAGCAATGCCACCAGCTCGAACAAAAAAAATCGCCTCGCACACACAGTGCAAGCCAGCCTAAGCACAAACCTGAAGGCGCTCTCGTCGACGATGGCGCTGCGAAACCAGTGCCAGGGCATTAGCGTGAACCTCCGATGCCAGCAAGAGCACCAACGACTGCGGCACCGGCCGAGGATCCCTGGAACTCCGCGGCCATGCGCCCTCCCGTTGCATCGTAAGGGGTAGCCGCCATCAACGGACCCCAGACTAAACCGATGCAGCCGCCACCACACCCGGCACAGCCGCCAGGGTGGTGCTCAGCGCGAACCCGGGCGGGGACACAGGGGCACCCGCGGCGGGGCAGCTCGCTAGGTCCACCAGGACCGAAGCGATGTCCGACCCCGCAAGCCGAGTCCAGCTACCGGTTCCTCCACGCACCCATGAAGGCACCGAGGAAGCGGTCACCAGCCAGGTTCATAGCCCCACTGACGGCCAACATGGCATCGCCATTGGGCGCACGGGGGATCATAAAAAAGACAGGGTAGCCCAGTCGGCCAGCGGCAACACCGCCACCCTACCCGCGTCAAGTATGATCCCGCGCTTCCACCATCAGCCGGAGAGGGGTGACGTTGCCTCAACGTCAGGGCCCAGGCCGGCTGAGACGTCGGACTCGCCGACGGTGGGGGATGTGGCGGAAACGCCAGCCCTGCCTTTGCGCGCGCGGAGACCCGTGCCCGGGGCTTGAGCGCGAGCCTCTCATGCCAGCAAGATTACCAGCGACTGCGACACCGACCCGGCTCGCGGACTCCTTGAAACTTAGATATTGTTTTTTTATTAATCCGGGTAACGGTTGTTACCCGGGGGGTATGTGCCGGCGGGTAACGGTAACGGCGGTCACGGCGTGCGCCCGCCAGGGTGCGTCCGCGCCATCGGCACATCATTGGCCTGCGCGCGATGCAATCCCTGCGCACGCGACAGCGCCAAATGCACTCGTGCACGACAACGCCACCTGAGTGCACCACTGTGCGCTTCGGTTCACAGCAACAGCTGCGTGCACAACGCCACCACGTCGCCCATGTACGCCGCAATATTGCAGCAGCCGTGTGCGCAAATGCGCTTGTGTACACCACATTGCCTGCGTGCACCACACCGCTTGTGTACACCGCAGCGCCTGCGTGCACCACAGCAACCATGTGCACCACAGCGCCCGCGCACGCCACAGTGGTTCCGTGCACCACAACGCCTGTGTACAACACAACGTGCCAACGGGCACATCAGTAGCTTGCGAAGCAATTTTTTTGCCCGCGGAAGCCTTCACGACGTCGCCCGTGTACGCCGCAGTGTTTTAATAGAAATGGAGGAGGCGGGAGGACTTAGGAACGGGTCGAGAAAAGGATCAAATGGGGATGGGGGCGGGGGGGGGGGGAGGTGAGAGTAGGCGGGAGGAGGTAAGATGAAGTATGGTGTTGGGTGCGGTAGGTTCGTGTCGCGGTGACCTCGGTTTTGGTTTATGACGCCGCATTGATAGTTCGATCTTGAACGATATCCGCGCCTCGAGGGCCCTGGGAACCCTCGACCCCATCTTCGGCGCCATGGGCTCGTTTCTGCGGGTCCCGGGGCCCGAAACGGACCGACGACGACAACGACAAGAACGACGACAACGGGCTCGGGAGGACGTGGGGGGAAAGTTACAAGACATGCGAGGACGCGGAAGGATGTGGGAGTTGGCCCTGCTGCTGTTGAGGACTCCAATAGTGTGGAACATCTGGACGTCGCTCTGGAAAGTAGTATCGATGGCGCGCAAGCTGCCGGGCTGGCCACTCTGTGTAGTTTCGGCAAAACTATCCGTAGCTTGCTTCGAACGAGAAGGCCAAGAGGATGTGTAATGGCATGGGAAAAAGGGGGAAACTCGGGAGCGAGGTGGGGGGAGAGGGAGGCCGGAGTGAGTGGGGGAGGTTGGAAGGAGGTGGTAGATTTTCTTGAAATGCCACAGAAGCAGATGAGAGCGAACAGCCACATCGTACCTCGGCGCGCCAGCACGCAACGAACATGTCACGAAATTCGGCCCGCAAATGAGAGCGAAAACCTACGAGGAGGACGACGAGGAGAGAGGGGGAGGACGAGGCGACGGGGCAAGGGTGCTGTGCGGATAACCCCATATGGCCCAAATGGCCACTTACATAATCCCAATAACGCACAGCGCAACCCAGGGGGGGGAGGAAGGAGAGGAGGAGGAGGGGCACCGGACGACAAAGAAAAGGGAGGATATCAGCAGGCGGTGGAGCAAGCAGGAGGAGGTTGGATTATGTTATGCTATCCAGCAACTGCACTCATGGCATCGTTCGACGTCGCCTCGCCTTCGTCAGCGCCATGTGCAAGGGACGCGGGATAACCGTAGCTCTACCCAGACATGCCTGCGAAATTCCCTGGCAGCACTGCTTCCAGAGTTCCACCAGTAGGAAGAGAAGGGGAAGAAAACATAGGGATGCAGACGTAAACTACACTAGTCTGCGCACTGCAATAGCCTGCAGGCGCCACAACAGGCAAGTGAGCACCGACACATGCGTTTTAGCACCACGCCATGCCTGTGAATTCGGCGTCGCGGCCGGTGGGGAACCTGCGAACGCCACAACATGTCTGTGAGCACCACACATGCCGTTCAGCACCACGCCATGCCTGTGAGCACAGCGCCATACCTGCTGAGAGGAGGGGGGTCCGCCCCCCACCCCCAAACAACCTAAGATCGTTAGCGTTATCTGGGGGGGGGGGCCCTGGGTAAGAACAGTTACCCGCTACAGGAAAAACAAAAAATACCTCATTTAACTCGCGGCAGCGGAAGCGTCGCGACAAGCTCCGCAAACACCGACGCGGGCGACAAGCCCCCGACGGGCCGCGCCTTCCCGTCATCTCAGAATACGATTCGTGGACGCCCCGCACGACCTCATCGGCGCGACCCCTCGCGAGCC